GCATACGACATCTTGTAAGTCATTGCTTGGCTATTATATTTATATTAAATACATATTAGCATTTTCAAAGCTTTATTATTTTACATTCATATGCATGTTTAATTATTAAATGTTTAAACTATGCATTTTCCATAGAAACTATATTTTCAGTTGTCTGAACAAACACATGTGCAGGAGAACATATTAAAATATAATTCCTTAAATTCAAATTAGAAGATTCAATTATTAAAAGATTGCTGATTTCATAAAATAATTCATAAAGGATTTGTCTGTGTAGACTAATGATGCGTACGGCACCTCTTCACGTCAGTAACGAGCACGTTTGTCCTGTGCACCGTTTTAGAGACGGTTCCCTGTCCTTCCACGTATGCGCGGCAGAAGCAGGCGTTGCCTGCAAACCTGTGACTCACCCAACTGCAGCCAGGTTAAGCGTTCCCTAATGACAATGTGGCTATTTACTTTTTTGTCATTAATATTTAAACATACTTTAATCGAAATAAAGGTGCATAGAGAAAAAAACTGACTTACATTAAAATGTCACTATAATAGTGACAATAACAGCTGTGTGTTACCACTCCCCCTCCAGGATGACCACTTTTCACCGTTTCTTCTTACAGTTTCCTCCTTCTGAATAAATAATATTACCTGCTGCTCTATCCAGAATTATTAATGTTTGATCTGGGCCGTGGAGGAAGGAGACTTAGCCCGCTGCTTGTTAGCTTTATAGAAAAATTAAGTGTAAAGCTCCAAGTGCAATACTGCCTGTTTCTAACGTTCTTGCCACTTCTCTGTCTTTGCCTCTGACCCACATGTGCACAATCACTGATGCTTTATTTCCCCAAGTCTTTCGAAAGAGGAGAGATATAAAAATAGCTTATTTTCCAAGTCCTATATGAAGTTTTAGTTCTATCTGCTCAGATTTATAAAATAAAAGCTCCTGGTGTGAAATGCCAGCCAAATTCAGTCAGCTCTCTTTGATTTTTATTTCTATGTACTTTCTTTTTCCCCCGCCACCCCCAACGCAGGTACTGGGGATTAAATCCTGGACCTTGTGCACGCCAAGCATGCGCTCTACCACTGAGCTGTACCCTCTACCTCCTATGTACTGTGTGTTATAAGCCCTTACAATAAACACAGCTACATTGGGTTTTTCTGATTATGTGAATAATTTATAGCAGCAGCGTCTATGCTGGGGTCATACACTCAGCTGAAGTTTTCACACTAACATCTTAATAGACCAGGCCTGGCATCACTTCACTCAGAGAGACGCAGAGTGGAAAACAGCCCAGGAGGTGGTCTGGCTGTGGGAATCCTGGTAGCAAGGCGCGTGGCAGTCCAGGGACTTCTTACTCTCTTACCTTCTCCCAGGAGATGCAAGAGTGAGACCACATGTGTGGGTGCGGGAGCTTCCCCAGCTTGAAAGCCCCTCATGCACTTTCCACATGGCCTCCTCCCTCTTCATGCCCCAGCAGCTGCCCCTTGGACGTGCATTGTTGCTCCTGGCTTCAGGCTCTTGCCTGGAATATGCAGCCCCCAGACGCCTGCCTCACTAACTCCCTCACCTCTCAGTCTATCACCTTCTAACCTACTGTACTATCTGCTTATTCATTGTGTACATTGTTAACTGTCTTTCCTCCCAGAAGGAAAGCCCTGTGAGGACCAGAATCTTTGTCTTTACTTCGTTCTCTGAGTATCTTAAACACCAAAATCAGTATTTGACACCCACTAAGACTCAAAACATTTTGTGTGCACACTGAATAATTAGTACTGACCACGTCCCAGGAACAATGCTGAATGTTTACCACGAATCAAATTTGTTTAGCGTCATTTTAGGAATTAGGGATGGACACACAAAGATAATAAGGATTCTGGCCGAGGTCCCAACTAGGAAGTGATGGAGATAGATTTCAAACCCAAGCTGTCTGGCTCCAGAATGGAGGCCTTAATGTGTTTGTGTTATTTGACTGCACTCTCACTGTAGATGAACAGAATGACACACTAATTCAGGGCAAGGGAGATCTCCAATACACTCTCTTCTCTCTGCCCTTCCTCTCAGAGAGGGCGTGACTTCACATTACACCTTAGTGAAAATTCACACCGGGCTGAGTCTAATCTCAACTACAGGATGAAAAAATTTTTGTCCTTTGGTTAATTGATTTTATCCCTCAACGAGCAGATTTGTCTCCATGGGGCAGAGAACTTTCTGATCCCTTTAAGAGGCTGCCTACTTCTGCATCTAAAATTAAACTGTGGGAGTTTCTCTCTGAGAATTACAGCTAGATTTCCTTTTGAATTCCTTCCAAATGGAGTGACTGAAAGAAAGAGAATTAAATCTAAATGATGGTACCTCATAAAAGGACACTATTCAGCAGAAGGGAAGAGATTTGCTTTTCTCTACTCTAATTACATTCTTAAAATATAAAATGTTTTTATTGGTTCTGAACAATACAGACAAAGTTTACAAAATCAGGAATGTATTGTGTTTGGTTTCATTCTAAAAATTGCATTTTTTGAAAGCCTCAAAAGAAATGAAAATGTTAAAATGTAAGTGCTTTAAAGGTGACTTTTCAAAAAATCCAGCAAAATATTCAATGTGATAAGCTCCCTTCGTGTGTTCTCACTTCTAGATAATTCCAAGGCTCTGATTGCATTTCTGGTGTTTCTGATCATCGTGACGTCCATAGCCCTGCTCGTTGTTCTCTATAAAATCTATGCTCTGCATAAGAAAAGATCCAGGTAAGAGCTGAATTCAAAATAAAAAAAATAATCATCATAGTAATAATGATGAAAGCCCCATTTATGAGGCAGGTTTGGAACCAATTAAGTGAAAAATGTGAATTCAGAGATGACAGCATGAAGTCTAGATCATTACTGACCTTTTGATCAAAGACTTTGGTATGGTCTTATTGGTTTATATGAAATATTAATATTTTCTATGTTCACTAATAATGGTATGGATTTCCTTTAATAATAACTGATGAAAAGAAATTGAGTCAGAAGTAAAAAAAAAGGATCTAGAAATGACAAAGGCAAAAGACAGGAGAGAGAAATAGGGATGTATATGCATTCATTTGGCCAGGAACAACTACATTTTATGAAAACCAAGAGGTTTCAAATAAAACAACATAGCCACCTATCCAAGTATGGCTGACCACCCTGGTTTCTTCCTCCCTCACTTTTTCTCCCCCCTCCCCCTCCTGCTCTCCCCTCTTTCCTTCTTACCCTCCCTCCTTCCTTGAAGATATTCATTTAATATAAATTGATTGCCAACAGAATTCTATGCTTCTTGTGAATAAGGAAACTTCTATTTCTTATTTTCACAGCAATTTAGATGAACAGCAGGAACTTGTTGAAAGGGGTAAGTATGCATTATTTTTTGCTGGTGAATCTCCCCTCTCATTTGAATCCACTCATTTTAAATAATTCAACTTTAAAAAAAACCTAATCTGGACTTTCTCTGTGGATATGGTATCAAAAGTTAAATTCATTTGTGTATTTATTCAGCCAGCAAGGATCTAGGACTTGCCCGGGAAACGCCAAATGTGGTGCCTGTCCTCAAAGTACGGCAGTGACAGGTCACAGCCTCTGCTCTTAAAGGTTTAGAGTCAAACAGAAGAGACAGAATTTGATAGATGCCACGTGGATAATATGACATTTGGCAGATGCCGCAGTTGTCCAATGTATACAGTTCCAGAGAAAGACAGACGGTAGAAAACTGCGTGCGGGCAGGCAGGGATCTGGGCCTTCTGAGACGCGGGCAAACAGCAGCCGCGCGCGGGCGTGGTGCAGACCGCGCCGTGTGCTCGCGTGTTCCCACTCAGGGCGCCTTTACGGACCGAAAAACTGCAATTTGACTTGGGAAATGAAAACACATTCCATTTTTTCCTATTTTTGTCCCCAAACTTTTACTGTTCTTCATTCATTTCTTTTTTAAAATGTGATTTTCAGTCCAGTAAAATGGGTTGGAGTTAAAGAAAGTGAAGCTATGCATACAGTAAAGAGGATGAGTTGCTTTCTCACACGCAGGACGGGCAGCTTTCGGAACTCTGGCTCCTGGGTTTGGCGTGCCTGCCGAGGGTTTCCCTCCCAGGCTGTTAGGAGACGCTCGGGGGTGGGCTCCTCGAAGTGCCCCGAGGGGCTTCGTTTTCCATTGCAGGACCGGCTGCCTCCTGGCACTGTGTGGTGTATTTCGTTTGTGCATTAACCCTCCCCCCTAACGGGGCTGTGAAGCTCTGTGAAGGCGGGGAGGGTTTCCTTTCCCAGTCATGGCTTTATCCCCAGCGCGCAGGGGAGCACATGGGATTTCATGCACATCCGTGAATAAATAAATGAAGGGGATAAAGCAGCCTGAGGGTTAGTCTCCACAGGCCGAGGGAAGGATGAAGAGCATGATTGAGAAGCATCTGAGACTGGGAGGGGGTGGACCACTGTCAGGGCTCAAGGCTGACCCGAGAGCGTCAAAGGAGCCTGGACCTCCAGGTTGACAGTGATCGCCCCTTGGAATGGTTAGAACTTACTGAAACCCCGTAAAACCCCACCTGTGGCCCAAAGTTCAGAATGAATGCAGGTCGGAGACCCCCAGCCGCCCAAAGAAGAAACGTGCCCGGCCGATTTGATAGTTGGGGTTGGATAGAACATTTCCGTGGACAGTAAGACAAACCTGCAAACTGCATGGACGTCTTATTTCTTTATCAAACCAAAGAGGGGAATTTGACGTGAATCCTGAAAGAAACACTGCTAGACGCACCCGACCCGGGATAGTGGGAGAAACAATTGTTACGCGTGTAGCGGCTTATATTCTCTTTTTCTTCTGAAACTGTTTGTCAGGGCCCAAGTACAGTGACAGCTGTTGACGTTAGCATTGTTTTCATCCTGTAGTGACTTACTTCACAAGCGTAGCGCATACTGAGCTTCACACTCTAGGGGCATAACAATGAACATGGTCTGTGCACAATCTAGAATGAAGAGATGACCACGCTAAGAGGAGTCCTGGGTGTCAGAATATTAATCATCTTCTCTTATTTATTTGTTCACGATATTTCACAATAAGTTAAAATCAGATAGAATAAAAAGAAAAAATAGTCATAACCATATAGATAAATAAGGATGGTAATTGCCGTAAACGCATGCAATCAAACAAAAAATGTAGACATCCTTCCAGTGGTGATATTTGGTCTGGAATCTGCTCCTAGAGAGAAAGCGAGAAGGGACATTCTGGGTGGGGAGAACGGCATGTGCAGAGACACGGGGACCTGACACCGCGATGCCCCTGGAAACTATTCCTGCCTAAGATGTAAAGCACGAGTGTGGGAAACGGTGTGGCTGAGATGTGCCAGGGAGGCCAGGAAAGGGCTCACGCAGGAAACATTTACACTTTAGCCTTCAGGCAACAGAGAACAAACAATAGTGTTAGTTTTTTTTTTCCCCCCAACAAGTAGAGTTGCATGCTCATATTTGCATTTCAGAAGATGAATTTGTGGTAGTTGAAAAGGGAAATCAGCGCGGGGAAGGCCTGAAGGGAGGGAGAGGCGTCAGGAAGATGTTGTCACAAGGATGAGGGGGGTCCTGAGTGTGACCACAGGCAGCAGGGGCGGAAGGTGCTGGGTGACCTGTTGGATGCAGAACAGAGGGAGAAGTCATGGACCACGTGGAAGTTTTGTCTTAAGTTACTTGGTTAATGGTGGTCCTGTTAGCTGAGACTTAAAATGCTAGAAAAAAGGGGAAATAAACGACTGAGCATCTTGGCTTTGAGGCACCCATGGAATAACTGTGCGAAAAATCTGAGCGTAAGTTGGAAAGATTAATATAAAGCCCAGAAGAGGGCTGGAGCCTGAGATTTAGGAGTCCTGGGTTTATGCGTGCATATTTATTTGTGAGATCTTCCTGGTGGAATGTGTGTGAGAAGGAGAGATGCTAAAGACTGACTCCACGGTGTCAATTTAGTGAAATTTGTGTGGGCGCTGGAAAGAGAGACGTAACGATAGTCATGAATGTCTGATGTGTTTACAGATGATGAGAAACAGCTGATGAGTGTGGAGCCCATCCACGCAGACGTCTTGCTGGAAACGTACAAGAGGAAGATCGCGGATGAAGGCAGGCTCTTCCTGGCTGAATTTCAGGTGCGTGCCCTTCCCGAGGTACGACGAGAAAGCTGACTTGGCGATCAGCATGGCTCCTCCTTGCATGCACTGCACAGCCCTCTGCCTTGGTAACTTAGCCCACATAATCTTGCCACTGATGGATGCAGAGATGACATATTTAGGGCCAGAAGAAAGACTCCTGGTCATCAAACTAGTCAATATTTTCCAAATAATGCTTTGTTGTATTATTACTAGTTACAAAGTTGTCTCACGGAACCAATTTGGCTGATTTGTGTGCTTGTACTCTCAGTACAACATTATGATTCAACACATTTTAAAGCAGCAGAGCAGTTAATGCTAAATTTGCTCTCACTCATGGGATTTATTCTCAGAGTAGTCCATCATTCATTTTTTTGAAGAGTGGTGTTGTTTTTTCATAATTCCTAATAGCATAGTGTCAGTTACCATATGCAACTTGTTCATGGGTATAAAGGGAAACAGGTTCAAGGATGTCTCGTTTGCTCCAAATGAGAAGTGGCAGGGGGAACTGGTTTTTTTGAATTGGCTGTGACCCGAAGGATCTTCGTGTCTTTCAGAGCATTCCACGGGTATTCAGCAAGTTTTCTATCAAGGATGCTCGGAAACCCTTTAACCAGAATAAAAACCGCTATGTTGACATCCTTCCTTGTAAGTGCTCGTTGAGAACTGAATTTCCACATGTCGAGGCTGCTTCATTAGTCATGATTCCACTTACTTGTATTTCTTTTCTTGGAACAGATGATTATAACCGCGTTGAACTCTCTGACGTAAACGGAGATGCAGGGTCAAACTATATAAATGCCAGCTACATCGATGTGAGTGGAAGTGCACACCCGCCAGATCCCGCCCCATCTCGGTCACTGTGTCGTCCATCACTTTCGTTTTTCTCGTGTCCATGCACTCCATCTGGTCCCTTCTCTGTCATGGCGGAGTTTTAGAAGTACTGTTAGAAATAATGTGAAGCAAGCGCACAGGTGTCATTGGTACAAACAACACGATCACTGATACTTGCAAAAATAGTTCCTATTTGCTACTGGCACTAGGTAGTGTAGGGTTTTTCTCTCCAGACAAAGTGACACAAAGAGTTAAACTACTCTGGTGCCTGTTATGTGCTGGGTATTAGACCAAATGATCCACGTGAGTAGTTTTCATAAGAGCCCCACCTCTGACCCTCGCCGTGGAGTCGGGGACTGGGCAGCTCTGGTTAATTCATTGCTTTGCCGTGTTCAGTTAGTAAAGATCTGATGACATTGTGCCGCATGGCTAACTTATGCAAAATACATAAATGTGTAACTTGTTATACAATTGTTAAGTGATGCATCACACAAATTTTAAAAAATGTAAACAGTGTAGAAACACAGAGAGCTTGAAAAAGATCTTCATCCCACGCAATCCACCATTTACCCGGGGCCTCCACCCACCTGGAAAGGTGACATCTGTGTAGTTTCTCATTCATCCTGGGGGAGTTTCTACATAAACAAGAAAACTCCAACATTTGTTCATCCTTTCTTTACCCAAAGGTGTTAACATAATACCCACACTGCTCTGTACAATGCTTCATTTGCCTAAAACATGTGCTGGATAAATGAAATATCACTAAAAAGACAGGAAAGGCGAGCTTTTCCTGTAAGGGGCCACTTGGCAAATATTTTGGGTTTTGCAGCACATGCCATTTCTGTCACAACTACTCAGCTCTCAAGCCGAGCAACTACTTCCACAGACAAGGCAGAATGTGGCTGTGTTCCAAAAAGACCTGTGTCTACAAAATCAGGCCTTGCTGAATTCGGCCCACAGGCTGGCATTTGCTGGCTCTGGACATAGAGCATTTCTGCATCTTTCTTTTATATTTTTGGAGTAATTCTGGGCATGGCTGCGCTGTGGCGTATTCCATCAGTTCCGATAGTAATGGGCATTAAATATGGTTCCTCATCTACTGTTGCCAACAGTGGTTTAGTGACTAATCTTGACTCATGTTATCCCGCAGTGAGTTTCAGTGTATCTGTAGGGTGACCTTCCGAAGGAAGAATTCCCAAGCTAAAAAGAATATGCATTTGTAATTTAAAACACGTTTCCAAGCGGTCCTCCAGTGGGGTTGTACCGATTTATGTTCCACCCGCAAATCATGCGTGTTTATTTCCACTCAGACCACCAGAAAAGTGACTGTCAAATTTTTTTTTGACAGTCAGAGAGTTGACAGTGCATTGGTCATGCTACCATATATGCTGGCTTATGAGGTCATTCTTAAATTTTTCGTAAAGTAAAATAACAGAAAAGCAAAAAAAACAATTGAGGTTGGGGTTTTGTTTGCTTGTTTGGATCTATTTGAATATACAAACTTTCAGTAGAGAAGATGAAATGGTCAAATTCTATTTATTTATTTATTTACATGGTCTATTAATTTCCTAGAGTGGCCATAACAAAGCACCACACACTGAATGGCTTAACACAACAAAAATGTGTTATCTCACAGTTCTGGAAGATAGAAGTCAGACATCGGGTGTTAGCAGGGCCACACTCTCTCCGGAAGGTCTGGAGAAAAAAATCCTTTGCATCTTCCTGGCTTCTAGTGGTCCCTGGCAATCCCTGGCGTTCCCTGGAGTGTAGCTGCGTCACCCTGTCTGTGCCTCCATCAACACGTCAACACATGGCCGTCTTCCCTGCGTGTCTCTATGTCACTGTGTCTCCTTTCTCTTACAAAGACACCGGTCGTTAAATTTAAGGCCCAACCTCACCCAGTATGACCTCATCTTCCACAGAGACCCTAATTCCAACTAAGGTGACATTTTGAGATTCGGAGTGGACATGAGTTTGGGGTAACATTATTCACTCTACTACACACAGTTTATGTAAAGTAATTAGAAGGATTTAAAGGATCTAGGATGCCTAGGTTACGCTTCTAACTTGCTGCACCAGCCCAGATGAGGAGAACGCCCATCTGGTTTTAAAGATTGTTCAAGGCATATAACAAAGACACATGAAGGTTATGAATACTGTTTGTAAACGCTAACTAACACGTTTGGCACAGTCAAATACCTGATCATGAGTTTAAAAAAATCCACCTCACAACTGGGAACTGCGGAGGGAAATACCCAACCGAGAAATGGTGGATCTAAAGCAGCTGCTTCTGTCTCACAGTTTGACGTGTGAACGAGGAACTGAGGGCTCCGTAAATGACGTGTCTTTGTGTGTGTTTTGAATAGGGCTTCAAAGAACCCAGGAAATACATCGCTGCACAAGGTAATTTATCTGCGGGCCCAATATTCTCTTCGAAAAATTGTTCTCTGGCACCTTCAAGAAGACATGTCTTACCAGGGTTTACTTGCTCACCTCCCAGGTCCCAGGGATGAAACTGTTGATGACTTCTGGAGGATGATCTGGGAACAGAAAGCCACGGTTATTGTCATGGTCACTCGCTGTGAAGAAGGGAACAAGGTGAGGACTTGGAAGATTCATTGAGCGAAGGCCTAGGGCCTCGAGGTGGAGGCTGGGGTTAGGAGAAGACAGTGCTGAGCTGCGTTTTGAAAAGTCCTATGTGTATGTGCTTGATGACAAAACAAAGTTCTCTATTTTAATCAGTAAGACATTTTATTTAAATTTTTCAAACATGTAGAAAAATAAAATATGTATATATATATACACATATATACAAGTAAAATGTAGCTGTTTCTGCTTAGCTGGATTTACGAGTGATTCCTTTTTTGTTGCAGTGTTATTATAATTATAAAATGTTATCATTACAGTATTAAGTTCAGTACATTTTTTTTTACTTTATTACTTAAAAAAAAACTTTTTTGTGGGGGGGTGGTTAGGTTTATTTATTTAATGGAGGTACTGGGGATTGAACCCAGGACCTTGTGCGTGTTAAGCACACACTTCACCCCTGAGCTATACCCTCCTTTCCTAGTTCAGTGCATTTCTGTGTGCTGATTTCACAAGCACCTGTGAATCCTGACTTGGGCAGATAGATGGTAGTTTGTGTAATGTGACTTAAGGAGGCACGAGAGCCTCCCATCCCTCAGCCTGAAATGACCCACGTGCCACCACATCATTTCTGCGGACCACTGAGCAAGTCCTTGTTTAGTCTGCAGCTAAGCTGGGAGGATCACCCTTCTGCTGGGTAATGTGAAGGAAACCCTTCAGGGCAGTTAGTGGGAAATGGAGCACATTTTCAGCACCACAATTTAGAGGAGAATATACAAATGTTTTGAGAATTTCAAATAATGCATGTTTGCTTTGTTTTGTTTTACAAAGAATGCTTAATAGAGAAAATCACTTAACTGAATGATGATTATTTTTTTAAATATAGAACAAGTGTGCAGAGTACTGGCCGTCGATGGAAGAGGGCACCCGGGCTTTTGGAGATGTGGTGGTGGAGATCAATGAGCACAAAAGATGCCCAGATTACATCATTCAGAAGTTGACTGTTACACATGTGAGTTTGCTCTGTGACATGACTTCGATTTTCACATGTTGGTCTAAAAATGTAATTACAGAATATGAGATGTGAGACATTAACATACGTCTGGGAAATTCTTTGTAATGAAATACAGGAGGAAGAACTGGGTTAGAGCAACAGCACAAGCCAACAGGGTCAAGTTAGGTCACTAGTGAAAGCAGTGTTCACATGGCGTCACATCAGAAGGAGCTGATGACGCTGTGAGCCTTGGAGTGTAAAGAAAAGAGGTCCTTAAATGAGTTGAATAAATGAATAAATTACTGAATGACCGACAAAAAGGGTGTCTAGCCTCAGTGGGTTTATAGAAAGACTATTCATACAAATGGCAGACAGACTACTGAAAAAGTAAACAGTTCTATCTCTGTAGGGCAGAAAAAGTGTTGAATGTTCAGCTCAGGAGCCTGTCAGTGAGGCCTTCGGCGGTAGTGAGAACGGAGGCCTTCACGCGGATCAGGTGGTGCTGTTCCTGCGGGGAGTTCAGGACGAGCAAGCGGTCGGAGAAGGGAAGTTGAGCCGAGGCCGCTCGGGCCTGGGGGCGAGGCGAGGCGGGGCGAGTGCGGCGGCCCGTCAGCGTAGGTTTCTTCGCAGGGTCGCGGAGATGCCCTGTGATTAGCTGGCGGTGATGACCTCACAACTCTGTCAATATAGTAACATATATAATAAAATATAAAAAACCTTCTGTACTTTAAGGGAGCGAATTTAAGGCACGTGAAAAATATCTTAATAAAGGTGTCGAAATGGCGGTCATTATAGATAAGGTTGAAATTTTCTCTGAATTCCATTTATAGAAGGTTATTTTCAGTAATCTAAATTCAATTCCATATGGTCCAGATACGCCTTCTGCAAGGAGAAACACCAAGCGCATGCTTCTCCCCAGGCCTCCTGAGACTCCGGTGGCATCACCAGTGACGGTGCCCTCCGAGGGCTGTGACTGTCCCAGCAGGGGCCCGTGACTGAATGCACGGAGCCCCACGCCGGGAAGGCCTCCCGTGCCAGGTCTGAGCGCTGTGCTGAGGCCCGTGCCAGTCTGGTTGCCCTGACTCGCCTGACGTTACTGCTCTGATTAACTCAGTTGTTTCCTGTCTGGACAACTGCAACCACCCAAGTTCTGTTGTTCCTTCTGATGTTTCAGTGTAGGTGGTTCTTCCTGATTCCTGGCCAGAGAACTATGCGTGATGCCCCTGCTAGTGGTTACTTTGAAACTAGGGCAAATTCGAGCCGTTATTTGGGGCTGCCTGTCCTCAGTTCTCTCTCTCCAGCCTAAGTGGACATTCCTAATAGGAGAATATAACACTCATCAAATGATTAATCAGACTTTCTTCACAAGACAGTAGTCCTGTTTGCCTACCAAGCAGAAGTATTTCAAACAACCGTGCGAATGGCTTTTAGTTTATATCTTTTAACACCCCCTCCTCCCACCAACCCCCAGTTTTGTGTGTGTGTGTGTGTTTTAAGTTTCTTTGCTTGTTTTGGTTTGGCGGCATGAAAGCCCCTGGCAGTTCTGGCTGCCCTTGCCACACCTCGCTTCCCTCCCTGGTAAGTGACTGCTCACTGGTCAGCGCCTGCCGGTCCTGCGTGATGGCTCAGTTCCTAGTTATTTGCTGGAAAGGAAAATGTGATCGTGGACGAAAAGAACTTGCATGGGGAGTGTTCTGTACTGGCCCTCCCTTCCGCCTACTTTTGCCCCATAGTTTGCCTTGAGAAAAGCAAATCGTCTAAAAGAAATATTGTCTCCTGACCAGAAAAAAGAAAAAACAACCGGAAGGGCAGTGACCCACATTCAGTTCACCAGCTGGCCGGACCACGGGGTCCCGGAAGACCCTCACCTGCTCCTCAAGCTGCGCAGGAGAGTGAACGCCTTCAGCAACTTCTTCAGCGGCCCCATCGTGGTGCACTGCAGGTAAAGGGAGGCCTGCTCCCGCGGCACCGGGCTGTGCGGATGCGCGCCCCGGGGGCGGGGAGGGCCGCTGCCCCACTTCTGCAACTGCGACCCTGAGAAGCAGTCTCGGAGGAGAAACCTGCATTGTTTTCTCTGCGTCACCGCGGTTGGCTTTTCCTTTCCTTTTCCTGCCACACTCACGCCGTCAACCTTCACCTTTGCTTTGTCAGTGCTGGTGTGGGGCGCACAGGCACCTACATCGGGATTGACGCCATGCTGGAAGGCCTGGAGGCAGAGAACAAGGTGGACGTCTATGGCTACGTGGTGAAGCTAAGGCGCCAGAGGTGCCTGATGGTTCAGGTGGAGGTATGTGCTCGCCCGCGGTCGCTAGCCTCACCTTTGCCTTCTGACGTAAATCTTTTCGTGGTGGCAGAAGTGATCTTAAAGGAAATCCAGATTCTTCTCAACCTGTCATTGAAAATAGTTTCAATTTCCTGAAAACTAATAAATCATTTGGTAAGCACCAATCCCATTAGAAGCATTTTGCACTAGTGGCCACAAGAATTGTGGAAGAAACATGACTGTAAAGTATACTTTAAAAATAATGAAATATTATTTACACATATCAGACTGGGAGAAAGCGATACCAAAACCCGATTTGGCGGCATCTCATAAAATTGAAGCTAGTGGGACAGGAGACTAGAGTACAGTGGCTAAGAGCCTGGATTGGGGAGCTAGAGCTAGATGTTTCAAACTGTACTTTTTATTCTTAATACTCAGCACCCATGTACCAGTTTTTAATGTTCCTGTGCCTCAGTTAAGTCATCTGTAAAATGGAGATAATGATAGTATTTACCTAACAGAGTTATGACACAAAAGGTAATCGAAGTAAAGCACTTAGAGAGGCCCCTGGAATGTGCACATGGTCAGTAAGGGGTGGTTTTTATCGAAAATGCCTGCACTTGACCCAGCAATTCCACACGTGGGCTCATACCCAAGAGAAGCATCAGCAAACACACACAACCAGCAACACGCAGGCATGTTCATGGCAATCAGCACTGTTAGGACAACAGCAAATGGAAAGCCTTAAATATGTGTCAGTTTAGGAACGGCAAACAGAAGGTGGACATGTGGACTCTGCACAACGCATGCTGTGCTGCAGGGGACAGGGAGATCGTGTGGGTGGGTGCTCAGATGAAAACAGTAAGTGTACGTGGCCACAGAGCGAAATGTATGCAACACAATGTGTGTGACTGTTAAAGACACAGACACGTACGATGCTTACAGACACAAAGATACTGGTGTAGAAGCATGAGAGCAGGCTGCCCACCAGAAATGATTTCCCATGGAAAAATAAAATAGAGGGGAAGGATGCGGCCAAACCCGGGGGACCAGAGGTGGTAGTTAAAGGGGCTGGGAAGTCATCAGAAATACGTCAGTTATTTGAAAATAGTGGATTCAAATACGATAAGAGGTTAGGAGTTGTTAAATCTGGGCTTGGCGTATTGTGATTTTTAGAGTAACTTTCTCTATTCGAAAGTTTCCAGAAAACTCTTTGAAAAAATGTTCTGTGGAGCAGCAACTTGCTTTTCTTCCTCTCAGATATAGCACGCAGTTTATTATAGCTTTACATGTTAGTGATTTAACTTCCTGACCCAATGCTAGTCACAGAGGGAAGTGACACAGCGTCTAACTGTTCGCGGTAAGACGTAAGCAGCGTGCTGCCCGGCAGATGCCTGGCCATCTACCGAGCAATTTTTTTCCTGGAAAAATAGTCTGAGATGGAACTTGCGCATATCCCAGAAAACTGTGACAGCCAACTTCCATAGTATTTAAATGTCACAGACACCAGTTTTCTTTTCCACCCATTGTCATAATATGAGCAAAATTATGGGAATGTGTAGTTTATTTAAATGTGAGTCATAGGATGGTAAGTTACCAATTAATCATCTGTATTCTTCCCTGAAACTGCAGGCACAGTACATCTTGATCCATCAGGCGCTGGTGGAATACAATCAGTTTGGGGAAACGGAAGTGAACTTGTCTGAGCTGCACTCGTATTTGTGTAACATGAAGAAAAGAGATCCGCCCAGCGAGCCGTCTCCGCTGGAGGCTGAATTCCAGGTAGTGACAGTGATAAAACACCATTAATGACAACTTGCACCTCTATTTTCCAGTGCCGGTGACATAGGTCCCAGATGGGAACCTCACCGTAATGCAGAGCACAGATGAGGAAACTGAGGCACAGAGAGTTGAAGAGAAAATGCCCGAAAGCACACAGCAATTATGATTTGTTTCAACCTCGAAATCCGACTTTACAGGCAGCATTTTAATCGTCCCTCATCAAGCTGGTGTAGAACAAAGTGTCGGAATAATAGTATGTGGCCACAGAGCTGGCCTGCCAAAGGCAAGGTAGCATCTCACCTTTAAAAACTACATCTGGTTCTGGTTTGTAAAGGAAATAATTAGAGGGGTTTATGGCCGCTTGGGAGGGTGAGCTGGCTGGAGCCGGTAGACAGAAAGTAAAGGATAAATACACGTGTCCTAACCTGTTTGTGAGGCAGTTGCTCTGAGAAACAACCTACGATGCAGTTCGCTATGATTTTAGAGAGTTGGCGTGGCTCTCTCCAAACTGCTCCATTGTCAAAAAAACATTTTGTAGCTTTCCTCTTTCCCCTACGGTTTTCAGTTCATTGAACCTTTCTCTAAACTACAAAGCTGGTCAATTCAGAGAGTTTCACAAGACCAGGAATGTGCTTTTAATCAGATGCAGAATCGCTTAATGTTCGGAATCAGAGTGGGGCGGGTGGGGGGTGTGGAGGTGGGCACGAGATAACCACCAGGTGACACCACCCACCAGAAGACTGAGCTGGGGGGCAAGAGCTGGCCGGCCACCAGCGTGGTCTTCCCTAGGGGGCTGTCTGATTGTCCTCACTCTTTAAGCTGGTAATTCAATCCCGTTTAATACATTAACCCTATACGCATACACTGTTTGAAACATTTATACCTTTAATTTAAACGTTCATATGTAAAATCACTCAAGGAAAGGGTAAATTCTTTCACTGAGCAAATATGATTGAGTCTGTGCTCTGGGCTGTGTATAATCCTATACACAAGAGCCCAAGTGATTTGGAGGTGGGCGTGGGGAGTAAGTGTCATGCAGAACACAGGGAGTGACCACAACTCTGAAAGAAACAGGGAAATGAGTCCATCTGAGCAGAAAGGGAGGCAGGAAGTGAGCTGGAGATGCAGTCTGATCGGCAGATTAGCGACGGAAGTTGAGGCGGCTCGTGTCTGGTCGCCTGGCCTGGCCTTGCTGTGGCGCCAGGTCACAGGTAGAGAGCTCAGTGGCGCAGAAGCGAGTAGGGAAAACAGGAGCTTGTGCTTGAGAGAGAGACGCATGCGAAGTCGTCACGGCAAAGTGGGAAAGCCATCTCCCAGCAATGGCGGTAGGGCTGCCACACAAGACGGTGGGATCATTTGAAATTTATGGTCATGAATTTACGGAGAGTCATTAGTTTGTTTTGTTTCGTTTTGTGTTTCTGATCCCTGCAATGACACTGGAGTATAGTTGGGTCAAAGCCATCTAGGATTTTTTTTAAAGTGACCAATTGAAAGTTGGGAAGCAAAGGAACTGAGGGTGTTTGCAAGTGAGTGACAAAGTGTGGACACAGAAGGACACGGGGCATGTAGAGGAAGCAGCAAAGACGATGTACCAAGGGCTGCGATAGGACTGCAGGGAGCTGGATTGGAGGCACTAGGATAGGAAGGGTAGGGATGGCAGAAATCATAGGTTTTAAGGTGATGCAATGTTTGGAATGAAACTTACGAAGGTAGAGTGGAGAATGTGGATGACTGGGGAGTGGAGGGAGTTTATAGGGGGTGAAAGAGCTAAGAAATGAAGACACTGGAGTGTTGATTCAAAACAAGGTGTCATATTTTAAAACTATGTACACAGTACATACACACACACATATATGTACACAAATATGCGTGTGTAATCTTACCAAACTGTGCAGGACGACTCCCTCTACTTGGGTTATTCATCCACTTGACAAATATTTATTGAAGCTATTTATTGGGAAGAGAAGGCTGCAGGCAGGAGATCTTCCAGAAGAAACTGACCTTTAAACTGATATCTAAAGGGTGAGGAAGTCAGCAGAGTGACAAGAGGGGCCACGGTGGTCCAGGCAGAAAACACCTGTGTGAGTTTGCCGAGAATCAAAGGACAGCTTGGCTCCTTCCAAGGATTGAGGAAGTTGATTCGGCTGCAGTGCAGAGGGGCCCAGCAGGAGGTGAGGCTGGAGAGGCAGTCAAGGGCATGACCTGAAAGGCTTTCTGTGTTGCACAGATGTTGGAATCTTCCCAAGGAAGCTGCCAGAAGCCTGAGAAGGGCAGTCTCTGTTTTGTGCGTTAGAAGGATCAGAGCAAGTGAGACTGAAGATCAAGAGGCCACTTAATGATGTTTCCAAGGGAGGAATCAGAGTGGACTAGACTACGTAGGGAGAGAGGAGAGTAGGAAGACTGGAGAGCTTCACCGAGGAACATGGCAGGTCTGGCCGACTGATTAGCTCCTGGAAGAGCAGCCGGGAAGGCTTCACGAGATGACGTGCTGATTATTCCAAGCATGAGCCTAGACGTCTGCAAATGCTTTGCCTGGAGAACTTACTTGGGGCTATTTAAAATAGTTCACCATTGCTCCTGCAATGCGGATAATAGTCACCATCTGTCCAGTGCTTTCCACTTACACGAGAACAAACCATACTATTCGGCTGTCTGGCACCTATTAGCCAGGGAGCTTATTCTGTTATATAATTGCATATTTTTAGTTCAAACCAACCGCATCAAAGTACTAAATACCTGAGCAATTAAAAGGAAAAATTTCGAGGCAAGCGTAAAACTTGTGATCTTGGAGAAGGTATGCAAATTTCACAAAACTTGATGAAGTTATTTTTTGGGTGTCTGATGCTACAATAATAAACAAAGCCAATACTTCTGTTTTTAAAGGAGTTTCCCTGCTTTTCTTTCCCCTCAGAGACTTCCTTCGTATAGGAGCTGGAGGACACAGCACATTGGCAAACAAGAAGAAAATAAGAGTAAAAACAGGAATTCTCACATCATTCCATGTATGCTGTTTATTTGATTTTGTTTTGTGTACCAGATAAAGTTAAGCTCACTTTTGGATTTGTTTAATGTGAGACACACACACACAGATGATCTTGAAGCAAGTTTTTGACATTTGTTTGACAGTAGAGGACAGTTGTAGGCTGCTTAAATTTCAGTTGTAGCAAATACTTTGGACTCTAAACATTTACAACAGACTTTGGGAAAGTGGTTCTGTTCAGCGTTTTTCTTCTACCAATTCGCTCAGAACTGGGTTGTCAGAAAGATGTCACTTCCGAAGCCGGGAGAAAGAAAAGGCCAAGTCCTCTTACCAGCTCTCTCTCATCTTCAGTTTATTTCAGTTATTTACTCCAGAGTCACTGCCGAATAGCAAACCTGCACGTTTTTGTTCCCTTGCTCTTTCCTCTTTATCCCTTCCTGATATCAGGGAGGCTAAAAGTAGGTGGAAAGTGTACTGTAAACTGTCAGTCATCAAATTTAACAAGTCAAACCATGTATCATTCTCAAGACTTGAATTCCACTTTATGAGCATGTTGCTAGGACCACATCTGGCACAAGCAGAATTTTATTCAGTGGCATTTACTAAGATTAGCATGGAGGAAACGTAACCCAGGCCAATAAACCAGACAACCAAATAAATCGGATCATGCATGGTTGACCTACTTGATTTCTGAAGATGTCCTTATGAATATAGCTTAGACTATAGCAATGGTGGTGCTATAGCTAATCAGGTCATTCGGCCAGGCCATCATAAATGAAAGAAACTGAGAAATAGTGAGAAATAATGATGGAATCATTTTCTTGATTAAGTAATAATTTATCTGAGATACCCATTTAATTAAGATTGTTAATCTAATGTTAATAGGATAGCATTGAAAAATTAGGTTTTTACCTAAGGCATGTATTTTCTTAACTTATATATCTATTTTTAAACTTATATCTGGCAGAATGATGAAATTCCATGGAAAATAAAGTATATGCATTGAAGATTGAATAGTCATATGAAACTTTATGACTCCTATTTGCTTAACATAGAGTGATGTTCTATGTTTTTTTTCCTGGAACTCTCTTGGGACCTCCTTTTTATTAGACTTTTGAAAAGTAATTTGCTAATCAATAAAAATTGAAGAGGATCTCATTCCATGTAGATCAATATATTTACAGAATGCAATCTATTGCTTCTAAATTACTTTCTGATTTCCATTTGACAATCAAGCAGAGATCTGGTCTTTTAAAGGAAGACTGACTCCTAATTTGCTTTGCGTAGATGACTTTAACAGAGTGCCACTTAGACACGAGCTGGAAATGAGCAAAGAGAGTGAGCACGATTCAGATGCGTCTTCGGACGATGACAGTGACTTGGAGGAAACAAGCAAATACATCAATGCGTCTTTTGTTATGGTAGGTCCGCACATTTCCAAAATCCGAGATCTAACACTTTAAACAATATGCCTGTGTTATCATGGCCCTGCATTAAATGATTTTTATCAAAGAATGGTGAGCTTGACCACAGCTAGGTATTGATGGACACAAAAGTTTCAATTTTCATATTGTATTTTAACTTACTGAAGCTAAAGCTTAGATGTTAAAGCTTAATGAGTTGATATGAAATAAAACAATGCTATTGCTTACAATTTATGACAAATACGACTATAATATAATTTAGAAAATATTAAATTTGAGCAGAAACTAATGTTTGAAAATGCTTATATTTACCCAGATAACCCAAACTGTAAGTAAATCCAAATTTGTATATTTGTAGAGTTAAGCATTTTTCATTCAGGTTATCTGAATTATGAGGTGGGTCTGTTATATACCTTTTCTTAAAATGCACTGAGAATTCAAACAAGGAATTTCAGTTATTCGGTAAATACTTTTTGCACATAGACTCAGCTGGATTTCTTTCTTTCCCCAATTTTCCTAAAACACACATTCATAGAATACGAGTTTAATGATGTGCTCTCATGAGAATATATAGACACAAATTAGAGACACGAAGATAATTTGAAATGCTCTTGCTATTTTTTTTTTACAATCACATTAACCTTTTTTAGAGAAAAAATGGTACTTGGGAAGGAAAATTTTGTTCATCTTCTAAACTAATATCTTCCAACGCTGATTCCACATTCTTAACCCAGTATTGTAATTAGCTAACAAAGCACCTCACATATAGATGTCACATTATCGCGTGGACCTAAGAATCTTAATATTTTTATGTAACAGCATTGATATCAAATTAAGTGACTACATTTCCAGATGGTTATTTTAATGCTGCACTGTTCTCTCGTCAGCAGGAGTAACCAAGTCTCACCTATTTTATTTCACTTTTCTAAGAGTTACTGGAAACCGGAAGTGATGATTGCTACTCAGGGACCACTGAAGGAGACCGTTGGTGACTTCTGGCAGGTGGTAGTCCAAAGGAAAGTCAAGGTGATTGTTATGCTGACCGAGCTAAGGAGTGGAGACCAGGTTGGTACTTTTAAGAATCTCTTTTTAAAAATTTTTCCATCCTAAAATGTGATTCTTCATTCTTGGATTACTTCCTTGATGGCTGTACCTGTCTCCTTTTGAACTCTTTGTTGCACAATTCCATTGGAAATTCCCATTTTCCATCCAAGCATCCAAGCACTGGCCTCTGAAGTTTTGCATCCGGATCCAACCTCCTCTCCTGTTTGTCCCTCCTCAGCTCCACCCACTGCTCACAGATGACCGGCAGCACCCGAGGACCACCTCTGCTAAACACAACAGACACAGCCACGTTCTCCTTCTTTTTCTTCCAAGATAAAAACCAAACTCCTCAGTCTGATATTCAAGACCCTGAATAATCAGGCCCTCCCTCAGATGTCTTTCCATTTTCCTTACGTTTTTATGTTTTGCAGACTTTCCACTCTGGATAAGGAGGTTTACTGGCTGAATCTTTAACACACCATTTGTGTTTTTATCACTGAGTCTCAATTTTCTGACATTCCACATATCTCAAGTTCTCTTCCCATGTTGATCCCATTCTCCTAGAAGGATAAAACTCCTGAAATATGCATCTAAATCTTGTCTTCTTTAAACCCGTGGGACATTTATGGTCCTAAAATTCTGCAGTTGGTGGTGAGCCTAAGGCTTACTTTGATCTTCCCCCCAGTGCCTGTTACCTGTGCTGGGTGCTCCCCTTAACACTGAGTTAGCAGCGTCTTCCTGGCAGTACATCTCAGTTTTAGCACCTAACACGTTATCTGACACACGTTACAGCTTATTTAATAAATACCCGCAGAAGCATGTAAATGTATTGCATGCTTTCTTTTTCTCTCCCTCTTTTCCCTGGTTTCCTACCCCTGTCCATAGAAAGTAGCTTTTTTATTTTTATGTATTTTTTTTTGAAAAAGAAATATTTATTCAGATTTCCAACATGGAATTCCAGCAGTCTTTTCTTTCATCTAAGTTGCAAGAGCCAGAAAATGGAATGGGCCTGTCGTCAGCAACGGTGGAGCTGTAGTTGGTGGAGAACCATTTGAAGAGGGAAGAAACCCTTTTGTATTCCATCTGTTCTTCAGCCTGACCCCTTCCTAGGATGTCAGAGCCCTTCTGTGGTCCTTCTGTGGTGTCCTGGCCAACTCGGTGACGCCTCCGTTCCCTTGATTTACACCAGGAGACACCATGTATGTGGTGAACGGATGTCTAACAGACCTCAAATAGATTTTAGGTTTTTGTGAGTAGGTTTCAATTTTAGAGCACAGTTAATCATTTTGATTTAATAGAACAGAGGGAAGAAAAGAGAGAGAGGGAGAGACAAAGGCAAAGGCAGAAAGAGGCGCTCTGAATACTGAGGAAGCGAACAGAACACTTGTGTAGTTGTTGACAGCGGTTTTCCCTTCTCCAGGAAGCCTGTGCTCAGTACTGGGAAGAGGGAACCCAAACATACGGAGATGTGGAGGTTCAGATGAAAGACACCAACAGATCTGCGGCCTACACCATCCGCGCATTTGAACTGAGACATTCCAAGGTACAGAAACGGGTTCAGGAGGATGTGTACTGGGTGTACTTGACCTGGTAGAAAAAGCTCGTTCGTTGGGAAAACAAAGCAACCATCAACTGAATGTTTTCAGGGTAGATTTTTTTAAATGACTTAAGTGAAAGTAAGTATGAGGAATATGTGACCATCAAATTATCACATGGGCCGAGCTTGCTCTGAGCGTGTCCCCTTGACCTCCGCTTTCAGAGGAAAGAGCCGCGCACCGTGTACCAGTACCAGTTCAGCAGCTGGACGGCGGAGGGGCTTCCCGCGGAGCCCCAGGAGCTGACCTCTATGATTCAGAATCTCAAACAGAAACTCCCCAGGAAGAATTCCACCGACGGGAATAAGTACCACAAGACGGTGCCCCTCCTCGTTCACTGCAGGTGCGTGGGGTTCGGGGAGCCGCGCCCTAAGCTCCGGGAATCAGCGGTTCCCACCTCCTGCTGGGCTGGGCTCCGCCTGGTGGCCGCAGCGCGCGCCGCCGGGAGCCCCCTGGGGAGTCCAGCTCCGCCGCGCGCTCCGCAGCGCGGCTTCTGCAGAAACGCGGTAGAAACCAGGACGGTCCGGTGCAATACTGTTAGGCTGCGAGTCCTTAACGCCAGTGTCGCGCCATCCCTGGCTCCCCCGTGCCTAACGCTGAACCTGGGATGTCACGTCCTCGGCAAACGAATGAATGAACAGAAGGATTCATGGGCAGATAGATGGAGGGACGTTACGTTTTACTGCCGCTTCAGTGCGCTGAGTCACTCCTTTAGGTGTCAGCCGGCTCCAGAGGACTGAGTGCTTTGCCTCCAGTGAACAGCTCTCGTCATGTCTTAACTGAAACCTCAGTGTTTAGCAACGTCGATTTGAAACCCATCACCTGACTTTCTAGGCTGACCCCAAAGGCAAAGATTTGCATAATAATAGAGTTTATGAATTTCTGTTATGCAGACCCATAATGTTTGTCTGTGGCAGATACCTACGTAACCATCTCAAATGAGAAATACTGAAAGTAGGATGTGTGTTTACATAAAAATGTTAAGATAATGGAGACATGAAAAACAGCAAAAATGGGAATCGTAAATCTAGTGACATGCTTTTAGAATTTTTGAGAAAGCTTGATAATAATTATTAGAATTGCATATACTACAATCAAGCCCTTAGATATAGACTACTTTTGGGCATTTATTTTCAAAGGTAAAATTTACATGGAAAGAACGTGGAAGAAGGGAGATTTAGGCTTTAAAACTATATGTGCTTCTTAAGGTATGGTTGAATACCTACTATCTGTTCTGAGTGAGGTTATGAGTGAGGTTAAATGAAGCTCTACTGATAACATATTCTTTAAATTGAATTTTTAAAATAATGTAACACACCTTTCACAATTTGGAAAATGATTTGGTTGCCCTCTTTTTAATGAATAATTCCACTAGGCATCATTTTTCTATTGGTATGGAGGTCTAAACGTTTGTAAAAAGCATTTGCGAGGCAGGAGAGAGGAGAAAAAGCATGTGGTCTAGAAATTTACGAAAGATCAGGTCCAACATTTCTGGTTCCATCAGTTCCTGGGTATGGCTTTCTCTCCCCTAAATCTCAGTGTCTCATCCATCAAAGTGGCATTATGTTATTTGTTGTAACAACTTTGGATGTAAATAAAAATGCATTCTCATTCATAGAGTACTAAATAGAAGAAAGTATATTTTTAAAGCCTGAGATAAACATTTTTTAAACTATAGGTCTGTTATATTCGCAAGTTGGAAAAGTTTGTACAAAAAATGCACTTAGCAGAAGTATTTCACTCCTAAGAGACTAGAATAAAATAATTACAATAAACCTGCAGTGAAGAACATATTTATGTTTCTCTCTTCCAATTTTATTCCAGTATCACCTTCTCCATAAAATGTAGAATTATTATTATTATTATTATTATTATTATTATTATTATTATTACCTTTTCTTCCTTTTATAGAGATGGAGCTCAGCACACAGGAGTATTTTGTGCTTTGTTTAACCTCTTGGAAAGTGCAGAAACAGAAGACGTGATAGATGTTTTTCAAGTCGTAAAATCTCTACGCAAAGCTAGACCAGGAATGGTTCCCACATTTGTAAGTATACGCCACCACTGGTGTTTAACATGCTTTGCAATTTTTCATGGGAGGGGAAGGGAATTAGGCTTATTTTTTTATTTCAATGGAGGTACAGGGGATTGAACCCCGGACCTCGTGCCTGGTAGACATGCACTCTACCACTGAGATACACCCAATTTCCTCTCCTCTCCTTCCCTCTCTTCCTCCCCTCTGGTCCTCTCCTTTCATTCTCTTCTATTCACTTTTTCTAGTCTTATTTTTTAAATTCCATTTTTACATCATAACTCACTTTGAATTGTTATCAGCGTAAATAAGAAAACTAATTGGATTTTGCCAGCAATTTGTGGTGGCAGTTCTGGAAGAATATTTCTTTAAATGCTCATTAATTTCCTAATTTCCCCAACCTTTAATCTTGTATCAAATTGTGTTGACATGTAGCAGAACATCCCAAGAGGCCAATCTGGTGAAGCTGCAAAGGAGATTCTGAAGAGTATTCTATAGTCAAACCTTTAGATGCCTAAGGAGATTTAAAAGGTCCTTTGTGGGGAAGGTGTAGCTTGGTGGTAGAGCATGTGCTTAGCATGCAGAAGGTCCTAGGTTCAATCCCCAGCACCTCCATTTAAAGATAAATAAATAAACCTAATTATCTCCTCCACCCCTCCCCCCCAAAAAACCCCAAAATGTTCTTTTTATGAAAACACACATTTATTCCACAAATAAATGATTAAGTCTTGGTAACTTTCATTTGATGTAAAAATAATTCCACAAACCTCTTTTACATGATTTCTCCCTTCTTTCCTGTATTAGGAGCAGTACCAATTCCTGTATGATGTCATTGCGAGCACCTACCCGGCCCAGAATGGACAAGTAAGGAAAAGCCACCACCAGGAAGATACAATTGAATTTGATAATGAGGTGGACAAAGCAAACCAGGATGCTAATTGTGTGAGTCCACCGGGCCCCCTGGGCGAAGCCCCTGAAGGCAACAAAGAGGATGGAGGCTCCAAACCAGCAAGTGGCTCTGAAGGGCCAGAACATTCCGCCAATGGTCCTGCGAATCCAGTTTTAACTCAAAGTGCATAGGAAGAGGCATGCAGGGGGCAACTCACAACCCCATATGAAGTATAATTTCTATTTTTCTTGAAGTAGTGAGGCAAAACTGGTACACAGTGGATTCATGACATTCAAGGACCAACATTGGTGGGAAGTTTCTATTTTACAGCTGTAGAAAAATATTTAAGACAGTTTGGCTGAAGTATTTTGTACAATCTTGTGCTTATTTTAAAGTTTTTTCCATCATTCAGCCAAAAAATCACCTCTTTGTAGTCTTTGTATGTGTGTGTGCGTGTGTGTGTGAAAGAGAGAGAGAGAGAGAGAGAAAGATTTTGGGTAAATCTACATGCTGTTGAGAAACTTTGCCTTTTTGGTTTCTTTTCTTTTTTTTTTGAAGAAAAAATGGAAATGTTAGCTTAAATGTCTATTTTTTAAAAATCACGTCACGTGTGGCCTCTTTGTAAGAATAGCATGTACGTTTCTAGAATGACCTCAAGATGGCCTCCTTGTTCTACCTAAATATCTCAGAGCTTCCTTCCTGTGTTACTTCTAGAAATAGACGTAAGTGTAGTGTGTGTGTATAGTTACTACAAGAAAGTTAACTAAATTAAAATTTGGAAACCTTAGGTTCCATATGTTAGCATTTGGTTCAGTATCTTTTCAAGTTTATTTAATCTAATTTAAAATTTTCAGGCAGGCCTATCTTGTTGTCCTCATGTGGTGGTTACACCTTTGCAACACGGATTAGTCTGTATAATATGTAAAAGTCACTGCTGCATAATTTTGACCCCAAATTATAGGTTTGTTGCAATTGAACTTAAATATCTTTAAACAAATGCATTTTCTATTAAATCCAGAGGTTAAAAACCTCTGAGTCATGAAAATGTATTTGTGCTAAATATTTACATGCCAGGCCTAATATAGCTATTTTTTTATGGACTAAGACGTCGATATGAGACATAGAACATTGAATATGCTTATTTTTCATCGTATAATTTGTCTTTGACTTTCATTAAAGTGCGTTTATCTTGAATTTCTCAAATGCTTAGACTGTTTTTACCAGGAATTGATGTCAATAATTACAATAAAATTCAATTATTATCTCTTTTTGTACATAATATTTTAGGCGTGATAAACATTCACACATGGATTTTGGAAGCATGTATTGAAATATAGGCACATGCAGTTAACATTTGTGGAGCAGCTCTGCAGGTCTCATTTTTTTTTTTAAAGATCTATAGTTTAATTTTGAATCTAGAAAAAACTTCAAGAAAAATGGTCATTTTCAAAGGGTAATAAACAAAACTTCCTTTACTGAATTCTGCATCAGCCTGTTCCCTTAACCACACGCTGCCTTTAAGGGGGTTCGCTTTCTGTGTCTTCACTCTCCTGCCTGATTCTAAATCTCTCAACTATTGTCATCAGTTGCTGCCTGATCAGCTCCCATTTGCCTTGTGATCATCCTTCTGATTCTTTTATTCCTATACACACAAAATTAGCTATCAGTCCTCACAGCGTTGTACAGCACCTTGCCATTAACAAAGACAAGAAGGGAGTTTTAGAATGAAGCAATAGTTTCTAATTTACCTTGTTTACTTTTGTCTCTTTACTTACTAATGAAAAAAGGGGATTGTGAACCATCCGCTATCAGCTCTGGCAAGAAAGGAAACTTGCTTTTACCCCCCTCACTGGCCGTGCAAACCCCAGTGCCTGAAGGCTGATGAGTTCCCACTGGAGGATGTGGCTGAAATTTACAGTCCTCATGTTCAGTAGACTAATGTCGTGTGTGTCTGTTTCTTCCGCGAGCCGCTTTCAAAGCACAAACGGCACACAGTCTCAGTTCTAAATTATCCACAAGTGAAGTTTTAGTATAGAGGCCTTAGCTGCCAGTGACACCTTCCAAAGGTAGATGTGGGTTTTAGATGTGTGTTTTCCCATTTGACTCTATCCTTTCAAGAAGACACAAAATGAATACTTAGATAACAGAGCAATGGGAATTTCTATTAGTTTACCAGAAGCAAGCTAGGCACATTTTTTTCCCCTTGTGTGTGTGAGAAGTTGTGGTAACAGGAGGGGCAGCACGGTGGGCAGTCAGAGGCTCCATTACTCCGTGAGAACACGTATCGCTCAGAAGTCGGGGCCCGTCCCACTGGAGCAGGGACTCATGTCTATGATTTTTATCTTAAAAAGGGAAAGAATACGTGAAGCACAGACCCATGTCTATGACCGGGGTGGCTTTCCTGGGGAATCTGTGATGAGACATTAAAAATTCCTCCTTTTTGGCACCGCCATTAGTAATTGCAGGACCTAGTCAGAAAAATTAAGCAAAAAGTTCCAACTTAATAAAGCCTGGTCCATTTTAGGGGCAAGGCTTGGATCCTATTGTATATTATTAGACAGAAAGAGACTGTGTCACGTTCGATTTAAAGTTTGCTTATTTCTGGTGCTAAAATTCACTGGGAATAAAAGATACACTTAGCACTCTAAAAATTCAGCTTCCAAGCCATTCATTGTTTTTACATATGACAAATGCATATTTGCAGAAGAGAAATATACATTTTAATCTCTCTGTAATGCTAAGCCTGTATGAAGTGATTAGCTGAGTGTCTTCGCCGTGATTGTTTTTAAAGTGTAAGTGTCTCCTCAGAATGCAATGCTTGCGCAGTGAAATTTCCATCTCTTTTTGGTGTTTTCCTGCTAAAACACTGAATGTGAAGTTTATTATTTCTTATAACTAAGACTGGTCTTAATTTTTAATTTACACTGGAGATTAGTTAGCAGATGTTCTCATAGCACTATATTAGGCCCAAGGAAGTAGATGCAAACTGTCCTGGCTAATCGCAGAGTGTTTCTTGATGTGAAGACTTTCAGATGCTCAACTTGCAAGGAAAGGAATATCTCTTAGAATGAGTAGGAGGAGCTAGGACTCATTTTCTTATGCAGATTTCACAGCTGGAATGACCTGAAGGTTCTTCAAAGGGACACATTCAAAATTAGCATTTTTTTCATTCCCTGTTTTGGGTGAAAAGATTTATTCTGCAAAAGGTCCATTTTCTGTCATTATTCTTTTGTAAACCCCTTTATACTTCTCTTTACACTTTCCCAGTTCAATACTAACCCAATCAAAGGGTATGCATCTTATATCATTTCTTAATAAATAAAAAAATTATTATTATTATTACTACTAACATTTATTGAGGCACAGTTCTTGCCAGCCATTTGATTCATTGTTTTAGCTGTATTTGTTTCTCAAGACAAATTCTCCAAAGCACATCCTCTTAATATTTCTATTTTACTGATGAGAATGTGAAGCTTAGAAAAGTTTGGTACCTGGACTGTTACAACACATCTGGTCAGCGACAGACTCAGGATCTGAACCAGCTCTTACTGACACTAACGTCTGTGTTTATAAGCTCCTGATCTTCTGCCGTCCCCAGTATCAACTTTGTTCACATATTTTGGAAAATTAGTGGGAAAAAAGCAGTCTGAATTTCTTTTATGTCTTTTCTCAATCCTGTGATTAGAACAAAAACAAAAATAAAACCACGTGTAACATATGCTCTCAACAACCCTGTATGGTCTAGTTAGCTGAGCTGAACTCACTCACAAGATTGAAGTGATTACACAAAAATAAACACGCTCTTCAACACCTACGGGAAAGGGCTGTTCTCAGAATGCATGTAAACAAAGATCACTTCATTCCCAAAGTGAGAGCCAGGAAGTAAAACCCAGCGATAAGTCACACGTCATTGTTCCATTGTCTCTCAATTTGGTAATCAGAACAAGTTCTTACTGTTAAGATCACATTTCAGGGCGTTTGCCAAAGAACCCATCAATCAGCATTTGAAGCAAGTTAACAGGGTGCATAAAATGGAAACCATGGCTCGGAGAGTATGACTCACTCCTTCTCTGGCGAGTGAGCCCAAGGGCACTTGGTTTCTCTGATCTAGCTGTCCCCCAATGTAGGATGCCAGGGACCTGGACACGGATTGCCTATGGAAAACGACACGTGCATTTTCCTCTAGAAAAACAGGGCTTTCTTGATTCACGTGCATAATAGTAAAAGTGGGACCTCTGCTGCACTGTATTTAATTTTCCAGGAAAGGAGAACGTGTGGGGCTCAGTCTCTTTCAGGTATGACGGGCGAATCCTGCCGTTAGGGGCTGGTGACCTTTCAAAGACTGAAAATATTGTCTTGAATTTTTACGGCTTGTGTAATCTTGGCTGTGAGATGGGGAGAGGATGTGGCACCAGGGAGGGAAACACTGCCCACTGTCATCACACTGGATGAAAGACGGTAAGCAGTTGGGCTGCCCTCAGCACCTGTCCCTCAGCCGCTAACCCAGGACCCACATAGGGTTTCCTCACCACGTTCCAAGGTAGCTTCATACCAAGAATTTTTACTGGTGACCCACAGTCCAGGTTTGTCATTAATTCAGACTAGGTTATCCCTCATGAATTACAATTCATGCCTTTTGTCATGCAAGTTAGAAAACAGAAAGGGATGAAATAGATGATTACCTTTCTAGGAAATTGACATGGAGTCAATCCCTCTATAACGGAGGTTCCATTTATCTTTAATTATCTGCCTTCACTGCACTGACAGCTTAACCTAAACAGGGATGGAAAACACAGGATATGCAGAAGATTTAAAATTGCAAGTTTGGATATTTTCATCGTAATTAACAGAAATTAAAAAAAAAAAAAACCGAAACTTGCTCACTGGCCAGCTGGTTCTGCTAAAATGAAACTTCCTCATTGGTATCTGGTGCCTGCTTTGAGTTACTCTGAATTGACTCTGTGGATAAACCTCTCATCGTTTCTCAACATGGTGGTGGGTCTTCGTGGACATGAGCAAAGAACAGTGAGCTAGCTGTTTAAGGTAACACTCTGTGGGACATGTCAGCAATGGTTATTTGCACATCATCTTCTAAAAACGTGTGTTTTTCCCCCTACCCTGTTCTTTCCCAGGGTAGTTTCTCTGATTAGGTTACAGGTCTTTAAGGAGCCATCAGACCTTTGTCTTAGAAGCTGCATCTGGACGTGGCTCCCGCACTGTCTTGGAATGTCTGGTAACCATAAAAAACGCTGCATCCTTCTTGGATGACAGAGGAGTACCACAAAGGATCACACTTAGTTCAACATACAAGAGGGGTTTCTTTCCGATAGCTAGAATCATGCGAATTCCACGAGAAATGCTTATCAGTGACTCAAATGCAGTGAACTTTCGTCTGGATTTTTCAGCGTCTGTGCCAGGGTGTGGGTTTCCCCTAACATAGTCTAATGCTTCTCATCTGCGCTCACAGTCAGGTTTCGTTTTATAAAGTGACTTCTTAAATGAAACAAGTTATTTCTGTAAGCAGACATGCTTTGGCAGTTTTCTCTTTGTTTAAAGTAGCATTAAATCATGGAGGTCAAATTTCTCTTTGATGAGAGCCAGTGGTAAATAAACTCTATTTGTTCTTGCAGGAGGTAGCAAAATATTTATTCACAATTTAAATGCAGGAAGTTAAAAAAGGTCAAAATCAGTCAAGTCAATGAATGACAAATTCAGTCAAATTACTAAAATCTACTGTTTCTCGCTGCAGACTTTTACTAGTAGGTTTCAATTCAATGCCCTGTAGTCATTAGAGAACATGTGAATTTCAGAAATAAAGCCAACTTTATATTTATACAGTGTTCAAGGAAGAGTTGACTTTATTTAGGGTTGCAAGACGACACAATTTGTAGGCAACTCATAAGTCTGTGGAGATTTACATGTAAGTTATTTTTCTGGGAATATTATCTGAGGTTTGTGTTCTATGATTTTATGCAGCAGGTGAAGTTGTTACAAGTGCAAGATATGCTTTGATGTGAATTTTCACAAAAGAAAACAAAAAAGAGAAGAAAAGAGCGGGGTGTGGTTGGGAGTCCGGTTACCCCGTGGGGAGCTCTGCTCCTCCTCCGTCCCGACCCTCTTCTTTCTGTGCCCCCAGTTCAGACACGGGGACAACAGCATCAGCAGTTCTTGTCACCAGCCTGGCCCAGAAGTACCCTGCCCTACGGACAGTTCATCTGAATGAGTCAGATTCCTCCTCTCCCTGCTCCCACTTCCCCTCCTGGA